AAAAAAAACCCACAAAAGCTGCAAAGAAACTGAACGGCATCTGTGGAGCGGATGGAGCGGCTGAGGTATTTCTTTTCTGTCCAACTTGATTTTATTCTAATTTCCATTTCCAAAGCACTGGCCATTCTGCGTTTGCTGTATTTGAGAGGTAAAATCTCATCAAATCCACACGTTGCCAGATTTGGGTGCCAGTAATATTCGATTTGATGCAGACCGGAGTCTGAAGAGAACAAAAAAAAACAAAACTCTCGGTGGAATGAGTCTGGCTAAAAGAGAAAAAATTCCGTCCCACACTTGTGCCCTTCACTACGTTCAAAAGTAGGGGTTGATTTGTAGCGGGGAGGGATGGGGGAAAGTGAGCCCTAATATTCTCCCGGTGTTTGAAAGTCACTTTAAGCATCGTTCGCCTCTAGGTGCGGGAGGCAGGACAGACCTGCTGAAGGGTAAATGTTGTCCTGTTCCGGCGTTGCTTTCGGCGTAGAAAACCGTCGTCAAAATCGCTGGTACTGTGTGCGCCAAACCCGCCGGAATTCACTGGGGGGAGGGAGTGGGGGGGAAATGCAAAGAGAAGCTTTAATAGCCTGGACGAGAGAGAGAGAAAAAAAAATACTCAATTTAGATGCACGTTTAATTTCGCCCAGCAGCAAGCAAAAATTCCACCCCCGAAGGACTTTATCAAGCAGGTTCAGGAGGTAACCCAAGTCAAATAGAGATTGTCAACAGGGTCACTCCAGTGTTGAGCCTAATGTACAGTTTTATGAGGTTGGAATTCGTCCAAAAAAAAGCGCCTGTTCAAATTATTCCCCTAAGCAGAAAGCCCCTTAGCAGAAAAGAAAATTCCTCAATATTTCAAAGCCAATCCTCAAAGATATTTGACCCTTATTTGATTTGACTATCCGTCGCCTACTGACTGTTTATTACCTGCCAAACCTCCGGCTGGCAGACGGTGAGTATTTCTACATCACCTACCACCACTTACCCGACTCCCCTTGTTTATAATTTGTTTGCAAAACAGCATAAAAGATTGATGCAGACCTTTTAGGGAAGGGAGGAGTGTGACCACGTTCTAAAGCGTTGATAAGAAGCATGACACCAAACATCTGCGATGGTAAAAGCCTATTTTAACCCTCAGGCAAAAAAAAGAAGGGTTTTTGTGTGTGTGTATATCCACAGAGAGGGGAAGCAGGTGGCAATATACTGCTGGGACCAGCACTCACTCATACTAGCACCAGAACACAGACTGAGAGGACAGCTCTGCAACAGACTTTACCCATTACAATGCAGGATGCGCCAATAGTTGTACAAAACGTCCAAATGGTTTAAGATTAAAACCATTTATATAATAAGCAGTAGACATACGAAACGCGAAGTCATAGATGGGACGAGTAATCTATCTACAGGATGTGTAAAGAAACTGATTAAAGCAGCAAGCGCCGTCGATTGTACGCCAACGTTACATCTGTTTACAAATGCTGTCTGCTTCCCCAACGCTCCAGCCCATGCAGCTGCATTTAGTTTGACACAGTTATAGTCCCGAAGGCTCAGCGAATTTCAAATCGCGAGACACAACGGGGAAATGTGAAAAGTTGGGATTGTCTGTTAACACTGGTTTAAAATAACGTTTAAAGTCAAATCAAATATATTGTAAATAGATTATATTTTCTGGGGCATTTCGTGGTTATTCGATTTTGTCAGCTGGATAATGCCTTTATTCCTAAATCGGATGTCTGTAATTGTGTGTGTGATTCTCTCTGTGTGTGTATGTGTGTGTGCGCGCAATGTGTCAAACATTCTATGCTCTGGAGATCAGGCAGTGGATGGGTAATGAATTTACATGTAAACATACGTACACGAATTCGTCCGGCAACACTCCCCATCTAACTGCGGTGGACAGTGGAAATAAAACATTGTGGAGTCTGTAACAAAACAAAACACAAAAGCCAGTCATCTGCTTCTGAGGCAAAGTTTACACCGGCAGAGAGAGAGAGAGAGAAAACAAGGTAATTTGACATCTGCTTCCGCCACAATTGAGAAACAAAAAGACAAAATGTGAACTATACCTGTGTCTGGCCTGAAGCTGAGCAGATAGCGGGGCTCGGATGGAATAAGCTTCCAGGCAGAGATTACCTAGCCATCAGCGAGCATCTGACCAAATGTCTTTATCTGTCTAACATACCCAGCCGCTTAGCAACTTGCTTTTATAATCTCTCGCGTAATTGGCCTTAATCTAATTATTTCCAGCGTTGTCTTCTGTGAGTAACTTCGATAGGTCCCTTGGGTTTTGCCAAAATGTGCACGTGGTCCGGGACGTCATTTCTCTCTCTGTCTCTCTTTCTCTCTGAGCAGAGCGGAATTTTCACCCCCCACTCTCTCTCTCTCCATCTTCCAAGCGCCAAATGAAAACATTGCCGAAAATATCCTGTCCTAGCTCTCGGGAATCGCAAGCAGACATCCGCGCTGCTGCTGATGTTGCCTCGACAGTCGCAACGCCACTCCTTCAAAGGAAAAATATTGTTCCAGCTCCCACACTCGGATTGTACCGTTCCCAGTTAGAAATCGGCGGGGGTTGTACCACGATGTGACTGGGGCTTTGGCAATAGACAACTGGGAGCTCCAACACGGGCTTTCGCTTGATGTCCCAAAATTTTGATGAAGGGGGGCTACAGAAATTTATTCCGCTCTCCCCGCCCCCACCTCCTCCATATACGTGAGCTGAGGTGGGGAGGGGGGGTGCGTTAAAATACATCTACATTCGCTCAACTGCATTAGAAAGGACAAGTGAAGGCAGCTCACCTTCTGCAAATAAGAACTGCCTGAGATTTTTAAGGTAGGGATGGGGATTGAGCGAAATCACATAAAATGCATTAAAAAAGCGGCGAGTATAATGGTACATAATTGCTTCTGTAATAGCATTACACAAAGATAATAGCCTGTTACAGACCCCTGCCCTATTAAGCATTTCCCTGGCGTAAAGCCTTTATGATATTAAGGAGTGGTGGAGGGGGTGAACGTAACGATATTTTGGTTATTAAATGCGTGTAATTAATTTATGCACCGCAGAAAATAAAGTTGCTTTATGACCTCTGCAAGACGCCCAGAGTCAGACAACTGTTGAGAAGGGTTGCCTTCCATTCTGTTTCTCGTCAGCCCCTCCCTCTTGTCCTGCCCATGTGGGTTTTAAGGAAAATAGAGGAATCGAGCTATAGACAACTTACCGTGGGACAAGTGCGACGCCGTGGTCGGTCTGAGCTGGCCTGTAGTGGATCCGCAAATGAATCTTCATCTTATCCACGCTGCTCATTGAGTCACCAATCCTGGACCCTTTAACGAGAGGTATTAATATGATTTACAGCTCAATTTCGCCGGTCAAACGAAAAAAATGATGTTTCGTGTTGGAAGTGGTAAATAAAATGTGATAATAACGATCCACGCTTTTTTTCCCCTTTTTTTCTCCCTCAGAATGTACAGTGGTCGGGGCGTGCTAACCCCTGGCCTCATCTCACACACAGTCTCCGTCCTGCACTCTCCGCAGCCGGCAAGTTCTGTGCAAACGTTCAAACAGCCTGAAGGAAAGAAGGCAAGACTCTCATCCGCCGGTCATAAAAAAAAAGCAATTCTTCCTGGAAACTGCAAGATATTATTTTGGCTGTGAACACTAATTTTAATCAGGCAGGTGTTGAAATAAAATGGTTTCAGTTGTGCAGTGTATTGTAAATAAATATGCTAGAAGCGCTCAAGTTATTCTTAAGGAATTTATTTTTGCAAGAAAATATACTTTATTCATTAAAAAAAAACTTTATGTGCCTACACAGTTACTGAAGCAGTCCTGTTACAGTCTTTGAAAACATTAGAATTTGGCATTCCCTATAGTTGTTCTATTTCATTCATTCTAATTTTTGAATAAAGAGCTTCCGGAACAAACCATTTTTTTCACACACCTCCTCAACGTAAGTGGCATATTAGTCAAGGTGACTGGCTTTAATTTCATCTAACCTCTTTATTCTCGGTGCCCTCCAGCCTCATAATGTTAATTGGCCCGGAGTACACGGTTCAGCAGTTAAACTGAGCAAATAAATCCTTCCGCTCGCTTTTCGTCGCGCAGAAAGTTAACACAGCGTTGGGATTGTTCGAATTAGTCGGTACGGGGCAGTTAAGGAAAGCGTTCCACTGGCAACTTACCAACACAACCATGCTGCAACTGAGGTCTTTGTAAAATATGACCACTGTGAATATGGTGAAATACGTCTGATTTAAGCGAAGATCAAACGTGTTGGCCCAGTCCAGCTAAAGAAGACCATTGGCTATGGCATTCGAATAATTGCTGATTTTACAGAGAAAAAACTTCTTTTTAGTTCGAATCATCACCTGACCTGAAATATTGGAGCTAAATTGTATCTTCAGGAGCTGTTGCTGGGAAAGAGAAAGCTTGGCAGTAATTTGCAATGGACTCCAAACATGTCAGTCGTTCGAATGTGACCATGAGCTTTTGGGAATCCCTCTAAGTGATTCCGCCTTAGGAAATCCAAGATGCACTTGCCTCTTTTTATTTTAAATAAAAATTGGCTTCAGACAGAGTGTCCACAATGTTAAAAAGAAGTCCTTGGAACTCGGCAGAACGAGTGCCTTCACACCAGTGGCAGTCCATGTTGTAATATAGCTCAGACAGACCCCGAAGAACTGCGGATGCTGGAAATCAGAATAGAGCTCAATCTACCACTCCCACTATACACACACACACACACACATACACAGACGATAATGTGGGGCGTCCGCTTGGGGAAGTTACTGGAGGGACTGGGGTCGCGTTTGCAATGCAGTTTCAAGCTGCCCCGCTGGCGGCCGGCTTTCATCGAATTGGTTAGGAGCAATAAAGAAAGGACTGCGTCATCCTCGTGTAGTTCAATGCTTGAGTCTCCTTCCATGAAGCTCAGTTGAACAAACAATACATCCTCACCGACTCGAATAGTTAGTTCATCAGTTATAAAACATCCACTGGGGACTACAACAATGATGAGTTGCATTGACATAGCAAAATGATTACATAAATATGTCTTGATGGTGTCTGATACCTTGAAGGTATTTACATTGTGTCCTGTCACAAATTCGGTTTGGACTATTCCATTGCTGCTGTAGGCCATTCAGCCCATCGAATGTGTTCAATCCGTCCAACGATATGCTGGAAAATGGGATTGGAATAATAGAATCCCTACGGTGTAGAAGCATGCCATTCGGCCCATCGAGTCCACACCACATCGAAGACCATTCCACCCAGACCCACGCCCCCCTACCCAATCTTTGTAACCCTGCATTTGCCATGGCTAACCCACATAAGCCTGCACATCCCTGGACACTATGGGCAATTTAGCGTGGCCAATCCAACCTAATCTGATTACAATAGTTATAAACACAGAACAAGGCTCACCGGATTCGGAATGTTAACTCTGTTTCTCTTTCCACAGTTGCTGCCAGACCTGCTGAGTTTCGCCAGCAATTCCTGTGCTTGTCTCAGATTTCCAACCTCTGCAGTTCTTTGTTTTATATTAGAATAGTTAGGTGTATTTCTTTTTCCTGACCGGCGCAGGCACAATGGGCCAAAGGATTCTTTTTTTTCTGTGCTGTAGACCTTTATGATTCTATCGTGGCTGATCTGTGTCTTAAATCCATCTTACCGTCTTGGCTTTCTAACCTTTAGTGGCTATTTTTTAGCACAAATCTGCTCATTTTGTCTTGTCGTTAATTGGTGCCATTGGGTTGTTATAACAATAAGATCGTGATGTCTGCTTGGATTGGACGCAAATGAACGAGATTTGAGCTAGTATTTCAAATCTGACCAACTAAAGTGAATGTACATTTCCTTTCCACTCCAATTCTCCCCCCTCTTCCCCGGTCCATTTATCAAAGGAGCTCATTCCCAACCTAAAGGTCCTAGTGGTGGAAGAAAAATAAACATAGCCCTGTTTTCCACTCACAAAGCTTGGATTGATGGGATTAAAGCTAAATTAACATTTTATATTCTCTTTTTCTTAAAATCTCAAGTATAATAAAAGCAAAACACTGTGGACGTTGGAAATCTGAAGTTTTTAAAAGGTACAGAAAGTGCTGGAGAAACTCAGCAGGTCTGGTAGCCTCTGTGGGGAGAGAAACAGAGTTAACGTTTCCGGTGATCTCTTCAGACAGAATCTGAGGTGACAGAACAAACCATTTAAGACTGAGATTATTTTTTTTCACTCAGAGGCTGATGAATCTGGGAAATCTCAGAGGACTGTGAAAACTCCACCACATTCAAGAGAGAAATCGACAAATCTCTGGAGACTGAGTAAAAACCGGCAGAACTGCGGATGCTAGAAATCAGAAACAAAAACTGAAATCCCTGGAAAAGTTCAACATGTCTGGCAGTCCCTGTGGAGAGAAAGCAGAGTTAACATTTCGTGTCCAGTCACCTTTCCTCGCAGAAACATTAACCGATTTCTCTCCACAGATGCTACCAGACCTGCTGAGCTTTTCCAGCAATTTTTATTTTTGCTGCTGGAGATTGGTGTTGTTTTCCTTTGAGCAGAGAAGACTGAGGGAGGATATTTGGTTGAGATGCATAAAATTATAAGGGGTGTAGTTAGGGTAGACAGGAAGCATTTTTTGCCTTGGTAAGGGGATCAATGACCAAGGGAAATAGATTTAAAGTAAGAGGCAAGAAGTTTAGAGGGAATGTGAGGATTATTTTCGGAAGCCGCTGCCTGCAAGGGTGGTTGAGGCGGAAACTCTCATTATACTTGAGAAGTGCTTAGACGCGCACTTGCCGTACAAGGCTAGAAAATGGGAGTGGAATAGTTCAAGTGTTTGTTTTTTGACCAGTGCAGACTCATAGAATCCCTACAGTGTGGAAGCAGGCCATTCGAACCATCGAGTACACACCGACCCTCAGAGCATCCAATCCAGACTCATCCCTCTATAGTCCACCTAGTCTACACATCCCTGCACACGACGGGCAATTTAGTATGGCCAATCCACATAACCTGCACAGCTTTGGACTGCGGGAAACCGGAGGAAACCCACGCAGACACAGGGAGAACGTGCAAACTCGTGCAAGGGTGGAATCGGACCTGGGTTCCTGGCACTGAGAGGCAGCAGTGCTAACCACCGAGCCACTGTGCTGCCCCACATCG